ACCCTCCGCTCCGAGCTCAGCAGTTCCGCTGCGTCGCGGCTGCTCTGTCCTGCGCCTGCGCACACGGGCTCGCCCCTCGGTGAGCTGGGCCTGGTCTCCATGGCAACGCGGCTGGCCCGAGCTGGGTTCTGGGGACCGGCTCTTAAAGGGCCGGACCAAAGGAGGAAAGGGGGATGGGGACGCTGGCAGCACCACCTTCAGCGATGAGCCCCCAACAGGCCAGGTCCACAGGGGGAGGATGTGGAGACCTAGACCAAGGGGCTCTGGCCATGGGGCCCGGAGTCACGCTTGGGTGCAGAGTTGATGGGTGTCACCCCGTGGAAACGGGCTTCAGTAGGGCGCACTGGCCTCATCTGTGGGGTGCAGGCACCATTCGGGTGCACAGGCCTCGTGATGGGGTGCAGGCCTCGTTCCACGAGAGCAGGCCTCGCTCTTGCCTATGTTCCTGTACTCGAAAGGATGCTCGTGCAATCCGTCCTGGTTCTGTATGTGGTTTGGATAGGGGTGTGGTCACCAGCGAGGTCCGACATGAATTCTGCAAGAAAGCATTTCCCTCACCGGGTCCGCCGACTGGGGCAGGGGAATATCGTAGCCGCTTTAAACACCTCCGCTTCCCCAGCCTTTGCCTCCATCACCACCACCCCAGGCGGGCGCTGTCCTCCAGCTGTGGGGTTTCTGTCTCTCCTGCATCTCCGGCTGCAACTCTGGAAGGTTCCAGAGCGTCTCGAAACCGCAGTGTCCTCTGTGAAATGGCCGTAACCGCTAACCCTACCTCGTAGGGTTCTTACGGGGAGTAAGGGGTGGGGGTGATTATGAAGGCACTTGGAAGAGAGGGTGGCCCACAGCTGTGCTCCATCGAAGGTGGCCATGGGATGATTTATTGAGATCTTACCATTATATAAGCGTTTGTTCGATAGATAACCCAAACGCTTCGAGCTTTTTTTTTTTAATGTCAGAAGAGTTTATTGCAAGGTTACCATGGCAACTGGGCCTACAGGCAAACCAAAGGCTTTCTCACTCTCCTACCAACCCCCCTGCAGCTCCTGTATCCCTGCTTCTCTCTTCTCCGTTCACCCTCCTGATTCCCAAATGGATGTTACCTTCTCTGTAGAGCCACGCCCCACAGAAATAGGACGCAGCCCCAAGCACAAGCCACAGGCAGGATGTTACATTGGCTCTGGCCGCCTTCGGTCAATACACGGACACAGGTGAGATAAATTTTAAGAATAGATTTCATGTATCCCCAGATAGACAAAATAGTATCTGTGCTTGCCATCAGTATAAAACAATTACTAATGAGATAGTGAACATTTTCTTTGGAATTTTTTATTTATTGATTTTAGAGAGAGGAGAGGGGGGGAAGGAGAGAGAGGAAAGCATAGATTTATTGTTCCACCATCGATGCATTTATTGGTTCCTGTATGTGCCCAGATGGGGCCTGAAACCTTGGCGTATCAGGACACGATGCTCTAACCAACTGAGCTATCCTGCCAGGGCATAATAAGCATCCTCTTTTTTAAAAAATATATATTTTTATTGATTTCAGAGAGGAAGGGAGAGAGAGAGAGAGAAACATCAATGATGAGAAAGAATCATCGATCAGCTGCCTCCTGGATGCCGCCCACTGGGGATTGAGCCCGCAACCTGGGCATGTGCCCTTGATCGAAATGGAACCCAGGACCCTTCAGTCTACAGGCCGATGCTCTATCCACTGAGCCAAACCGGCCAGGGCGTGAGCATCCTCTTTCATAACAAGTCCCTCTGGAGCAGCCACATTCGAGGGCTCGGCAGCCACTGGGAATTTATTAGGTGTGTGTGTGTGTGTGTGTGTGTGTGTGTGTGTGTGTACACACATATTCAGCTCTATTGCATTCATCCCTGTGCTATTTATAACCCTGGGAAACACAACAACAGCAGCCAGAGCTGGCATTGTTCAGGTGTGGATGACCCCGGGCGAGGTGCTGTGAGAGTCACATACCATACAATTCACCATCGAAAGTGTGACTTTGGTATGTTCAGAGAGTTGTGCAGCCAGCACCACACCCAATTTTAGAACATTTCCCTCTCCCCAAAGAAACCCCACCCCCTTAGCAACCACCCTCCGACTCTCCCCGCAGCCTCTGGCAGCCACTAATCTCCTTTCTGTCTCTACGGATTTGCCTGTTCTGGAGATTTCATACAAATGGGGTCATACGATGCGTGCTTAGTTCTTGCCCGGCTGCTTTCACTCTGTATAATGTTTTCAAGGTTCATCCATGCTGTGCATGTGTCGGTGCTTCCTTCCTTTATTAAAAAATATTTTTTTTACTAGAGGCCCAGGGCACGACATTCGTGAGCGGGGTGGGGGGGTCCCTCAGCCCGGCCTGTGCCCTCTCACAGTCTGGGACCCCTCGGGGATGTCCGCCTGCCGGCTTGGGGAAGGACTCGGGAGGTTGGCCAGCTGGGGAGGTACCACGGGTGGGCTCCAGGGCATGTTCGGCCCATCTTGCTCAGTTGGACCCCAACAGCAAGGTAACCTACTGGTCGGAGCATCTGTCCCCTGGTGGTCAGTACACGTCACAACAAGTAGTTGAGGGGCCTTAGCATATCATTAGCATATTATGCTTTGATTGGTTAAACAGACCACTGTACACTTAGCATATTAGGCTTTTATTATATAGGATTGATTTCAGAGAGAAAGGGAGAGGGAGAGAGAGATAGAAACATCAACGATGAGAACGAATCACCAATCGGCTGCCTCCTGCACGCCCCACACTAGGGACCGAGCCCACAACCCGGGCATGTGCCCTTGACCAGATCAAACCTGGGACCCTTCAGTCCCCAGGCTGACGCTCTACCCACTGAGACAGACCCGCCAGGGCAGTGCGTCCTTCCTTTTTATGGCTGAACAGTATTTCATTGTGTGACTAGATTTCATTGTGTCAATAGTATTTCATGGTGTGAACAGTATTTCAATAGTATTTCATGCGAGCACCACATTTCCTTTATCCGCTCATCAGGGGGTGGGCACTTGGGTGGTTTCCGCATGTGGCTGCTGTGAGTGCTCCTATTGTCAACGTTCATGTTTCTGTGTGAACGTGTGTTTCATTCCTCGTGGGAAATTCCTGGAGTGGAATTGCTGGGTCACACGCTCACTCTGTAACCATTTGAGGAACCGAGAGGCGTCGTTACGGCAGCTGGTTTGAGCAGAGCCCTTTCTCCACTTCCCACGAAGGCGCTCAATGCTGCCTGGCAGCCCTGTGTCTGACCAGCAGCCACTCACCAGGCAAGTCACGTGTCTCTTCTGCCTCAGTGTCCCCACTTTATTGTGAGATGCTGAGGACTCAGGAAGCGGCCTGTGTGGGTGTTGGAACAATGCCCTGCCCTGAGTCACTGGTCTAAGGTTTCATACTCACGGGACAGGACAGGGCGACACACTGGGCTGCAGATTGTGGTGGGGACACCCCAGGAGAGCAACTGGTACCTACAGTACAGAGGGAAGTCCCTCCCCTGAAGTTTGGCCTCTTGGGGGCTGTTGGCACCACGGGCACCAGGGGGCGCTCCAGGAGTGCCAGCGTGTGGGAGGCCGGGATGGTCAGGAACTGTGGGTTGTTGCACATCTTCCACGCCCTCCCAGGAAACCCCTCCCCCAGCCCTTCACGTCTGTGAAAAAAATCCGTTTACAGTGATCTGAGTTCAGACCCTAACTCCGCTTTGCATGCAAACACAACGCTGCTTTTTTACATGGCTTTTTGTTTTATTTTTTATTGATTTTTAGAGAGAGGAGAAGGGAAAGGGAGAGATAGAAACATCTACATGAAAACAAAGCATCCATCAGCTGCTTCCTGCACGCCCCACACTGGGGAATCGAACCGGGAACTTTTTAGTGCCTGGGACAATGCCCAACCCACTGAGCAACACGGCCAGGGCTTATATATGGATTTGATTGACACGGACTATGCCAGCTTTTATTCTAGGGCCCCGCCATGCTTCCGGTGTAATTCCATCCTCTTGCTTCTCTTAGGTCCACGTTTATTCATGAAGAGCAGGTGTGACATGTCCGTTTCTGGC